TACTTTTGTATTCCCTCGCAATACTTTTGTATTCCCTCGCAATACTTTTGTATTCCCTCGCAATACTTTTGTATTCCCTCGCAATACTTTTGCATTACCACGCAAAAAATAGTTTTGTATATGAATAGAATTAAATCAGACTTTTATTTTGAAATRTCCAGTTACCAAAACAGGATGTGTCGCCACAAGTTCGTAAAATTGACATTGATGTTGCGTGGCTGCACTGTGTTAAAATATYAGAAYATGRCATACTTCCATGTGTGTCTGTGTGATATTTTCATTTTGAAGCTAAATTATAGCAGTAGGCTAACTCGCTAATTGTTAACATGTGAATGTGTTAAACCGGCAGGCACAACAGTGTTAAATGACTTTTGCGAGGGAACGCAATACTATTGTGTGGGAACGCAAAAACAAAATCCCTCGCGGGCTCTGTACTCATGATCCGAGGGGGTGTGCAAAAAGAGTCGAACTCGGGGGTGTGCAAATWGATTCAAACTCAGTCATTAGGTCCAGTACAGGAAAAACAATGTACAAGTGCCTCTGGTTATTATTTATGYAATGTTTGAAAGGTAGAGTTGTTCGATGTGCAAACACAAACATGTATGCTTATGATTGTTGGGAGCAGTGATGGTTATAAAGTCTAACAGCTGATGGGAGGAAGGATCTGCRRTAACGCTCCTTTGTGCRTTYAGGAAGCAGCAGTCTGTCACTGAAGGAGCTCTGCAGAKCAGACACAGTTCCATGCATTGGGTGGGAGGAGGTTTCTCTTACTGGTATTATTTTAGCCAGAGTTCTTCTGTCTCCCACCACCTGCTTTGGGTCGAGGGGGCATCCCAGCACAGAGCTGGCCTTCTTGATGAGCTTATCCAGCCGCTTCCTCTCAGCTGTAGATAAGCTGCTGCTCCAACAAAAGATGGCTGAATGTGATTGATTAAATATACTATATGATACGATAAGACAATACTACAAACTGTATTGTCCATTTGGAACAGTTAGTTCTAGAACTCCCAGTAGCTGCTTCACAACAAATCTATTACCTAATGGATTAAATGGAAGCTGAAGAGTTTGTTTCAATAAAGCCCAACATTCCAACTCTACCTGTGATGGACAGAATCAGCAAAGTATTGTTTGACTTTTGGAAACTGATAATAACCTTTCCTACAAAAAAAAAATACAAATCATGACAGTATTCTTTTTTTGAAAAGTCTTGTTGGTGTAAACCATTAGCCCTTTGGATATTTACCTGTATAATGAGTTGGCAGTATGTGGTGCCGTTTGTCAAGTTACACAGTCAAAAATTACCACCAATATTTTTGTTTTATTTAGGTTTTTTTAAGAAAAAAAAGAACAGATTTGTTTTTCAAAGTCAGTTTTTCGTCATATGATTCATACATTTATAAATGT